TTTTGTTGTGAATCGAGTGAACAGTTTTTAGAGCAGATCATGAGTTTTACATTCAACAAATCATATGCTTTGGTTCTTTTCAATGATTGCAGTCCCCTCCATGTGCTGTCAGTTAACAGTATGTTCCTCTATTTGCTTTATTTCTTGTATTTCTCCTCATGTCTCCCTCTACCTTCATTTCCCCCCACTATCTCCCTCTTGTTTATTTCCTGCTCTGTCACCTGTGTTAACATGTGTCTACCCTCTAGCCCATGAATGATTTTTCCTCCCTCTCACATCCCCTGTAACCATCATAGAATGTTTCTTTTAATAACAAATACTTCTTAACTTTTTTACAACATTTGTCTCATACTATATTTGTCATTTTGTTATTAACTAATTTCGCTCAGGATAATGTCCTCCAGGGTCATCCATATTTTGAGGTGTTTTACAGATTCATCATTGTTTTTCAATGTTGTGTCATATTCCATTGTATGTATGTTCCAAAATTTGTTTAACCATTCTTCTGTTGATGGGCATTTAGTCTGTTTCCCCATCTTTTTGATGTGTTTCTTGTAGACAGCATATTGAAGGATCCTGTTTTCATATCCATTCTGCTACTCTTTGTCTCTTGACTGGTGTATTTAATCCATTTACATTTAGTGTAATTATCTATAGGAGTCCTGGTGTAGCACCATAGGATAAACACTCATCTTAAGGTTGGTTTGAACCATAGGGTCAGTGGTTCAGACCCACCAGCTGCTCCTTGGAAACCCTACACAGGGTCGCTATGACCTGGAATTGACTTGATGGCACTTAACAACAACAGTGAATTTATTACTGTCATTTTGTTCTTTGTGGTGCTGCTGGTTTCTTCATTCCACATAATTTTCTGCTCTAAATTCATTTTGTTTGTGTTTTTTGTTTTTCTCTTTTTTCCATTTTCATTTCTGTTGTGCTAATGTTTTATTTTGATGTAACGGCGTATTAGTATTCTTTGAGGTTGTCCTGAAATTAATTTTTTCCCTGATTAAAAATCTGTTAATCTTGAAATCTACTTTGATTTTTTTGTCATTTGGAAGTTTTATATCTACACTAGCCTGTTTGTGCTTTGTAGTTGACTTAGTTATAAATTGATATCTTTGGTTCCTTAAATTAAGTGTTATAAGTTTATTTGGAAA